GAGAGAGAGAGAGAGAGAGAGAGAATGGTCTAAAGATGGTCTAAAAATAAATAGCTAAACGACGATTACAAAAGTGAATCAAAACTTTTTGATTGTCTTCTTAATCAAAGCCATGCGTTGTTTATGCGCTTCAGTGGTGAACGACTTCTTGTGCTGTCTATTGGTGTCATCAGTGGTGCCAAAGCCCGGGACCCACATCTTCCAGTTCTTCTCGAGAGCCAACTGCACGTCCCGTACGTCCAAAGTCGTCGATTTGCGGTGTTTGGCAAACAGTGTGGACGTGTAGACCAACGACTCGATGAACTCGTCGGCGATGGTCAGCAACATGTCCTCCACGTCGTCCTCCAACTGCTCGTTTGGGTCCACCTCTTGGACCAACTCTTGGAGTCTTGTTTTGTCTAATATAACCACTGGATTCTTGATGGCCGCCGACGCCGACGATGAGGTAGTGATGGCAGAGTTGGCCGACTCTTGCGATAATGCGGTGGCAATGGTTTGGGCCGTTGTGTTGGCCTCAGTGTCCGCAGAGGTCACCGATGGCTGACTCGTGGGCTGAGGTGTGGCGGCTGTGGACGAGGTCTGTGTCTGAAGAGTCATTTGCGGTGCGCTTTGATTGGCCAGCGTTTGGCTCAAGAGGTTGGGCACCGCTGAAGACACGGACCCGTTATTAATGGTGACTTGTGTCGGACCCGCTATGAGTTGGGCCGACATTAACGGTGCGGTTGTGGACAGCGTTTGAGATATCGTTTGAGACATTGTTTTGACTCTCAATTCAAACACAATCTCATTGTTTACATCCAATCAGCGCTTCATTCATAAACAACGTTACCATCAATTATGACATCCAATGGGAACGCGTTATTGCGATAAAGGCTTAACTCAATGGGCGTTACGACACATGAATAGGCCTTTTGTGTCGAACTCTATATCTAGTGGTCTAAAAGTGCGCCAAATTTGTCGTATTATTGCGTTTTAAACGACAATTGGATTAGAATTGCAGTCAAATTGGGTTTCGATTAAGCGTTGCGTCGAAAGTGCGGACACAAGAAGTGGAGGAATACTATCGGTCTATAGGATGAGTGGGTCGGGCGTCGTGTCCAAGACTGAGGCCATTGTGGCCGAAGTGCACCAATTGATGGCAGAAGTGGATGAAAAGCATACGCGAGACCAGCAGTACGTCCAGCGCTTGAGACGAGTGGCCGACCAATGGATCCGTCGATTCGCGCGGACTCTCGACCGACAGCTGACCGCCGATTACACCGTCGAAGAGGACATCAGCCGTCGATTGAGTCGTTTGGAAACGATTGTCAAAGAGTTGATGCAATTGGAGGAGAAAATGGCACAAATGAGTCAACTCTTCGCTCATATCTCCAGACAATACTCTTTCGCCAAATGATGTCTTCATTTCATTTGATTCTCACTTTAATTCACATTTCATTTCCATTTCTCTTATTTAAGTTATAATTAATACTATTTTTGTGTAAAAAAGTTGTTTTAATAATTAAATTACATTTGATTTGTAATAAAAATGTTCCATTGATTACAATAAGTGTATTGAATGGCAATAAAAGTTCATTAAATCGTTGGACAATAATTAGTATCAATTAACGTATTGAACGACAATATAGTGGTTGGTTGTGGCGATTGGTTGTGTAATAAGTAATAAAACCATTAATTTATAACTTATGGTAAAATTCAATTGAAAGAAAGCAATTGTGCAAAAAATACAATTAAAATGCAATTTAAATGTATTCAAGAATAGCTAACAGTTAATGAAATACAACTAAAACTTTTGAACAATAACTTTGTTGACGGCATCGAAGTGATAGTTCTGGAGAGCGAACGCCCGGCTGTCGTAAAAGTGTCGCAAGTGTTGAATATCTAGTTGTCGGGCCTGTTATCGGATACGCAAACCAATTATCAATCAATGGTTGGCTTTAGATATGAAATAAGACAATTAGACATACCTTATTGGCGAACTCTTTTTCGTTGATCGCGACCTTTTCGATGAGAGCGCCGGCAGTCATACGGCTGCGGGTGAGTGACAGCTCTTCGTGAACCATTTGGCGCAGTATTGTGAACAGCAGTTCAGTGTTCGAGCGCTGGAAGTATCGACTAAAAGTCTAAATGTAGACGATTGGCAACAATTAAACCATTTGACAAAGAATTAAGTCATTAATTTTGATAAATGAATGCTTACTTTAGTCATTGATTTCATGACACTATACTTTTGAGTGTCAATGAAGCTCTCGAGGACCACCTGAATGGAAACGTTCAGATCCTGATCGCCCACAGCGTCTCTTAAATGCATTCTCGCGTGCGATTCAGCGCATCGGATGATACTCTCGATGTGGCGGACAGTGATTGGAATGGAACCGGTGAGCAGTGATTCCCTCCGGAGTTCTGAGTACAGTTTGGAGACCTTCTCCTGGTCAAATTTGGCCAGTTTTGGTCGAACCCGATCTCTCGCGTACACAATATACTTGCGCAGCAGATCCTGAGGAATGCCTTCGATATCAATGTTTTCCATAATAGCGTTGTTATCGTTTGTGTTCTCCTTTTCGATCACATCAGCGGTTTCTGCGTCTCTAACCTCCGCTAAGTCCTCTTCGGTCACATTCGGGTGATGTTTAATATGAGATCTGACCACAAATTTGGCCAATTGTTCGTCGGCGAACGGATCCACTTGATCTCTGACCACACAAATGATATCAAAACGCGATATAATGGGTTCCGTGAGGTCCACGTTCTGCGAGAACGTCAATCCGATGTCATAACGACCACCGATAGGATTGGCCGCCGCTAAGACAGAGCATCGGGCTTGAAGTGAGGCCACAATACCGGCTTTAGATATAGATATGCTCTGCTGTTCCATCGCCTCGTGAATGGATGTCCTGTCTTTGTCTGACATTTTGTCGAACTCGTCAATCATACAAATTCCCTTATCGGCCAAAACCAGAGCTCCGGCTTCGAGTGTCCACTCTTTAGTGACGGGACTCTTCTGGACAAAAGCGGTCAAACCGACAGCACTGGCGCCCTGTCCTGTAGTAAAGACAGCTCTCGGCGCCACTTTCGATATGTACTTCAAGAACTGGGACTTAGCTGTTCCCGGGTCTCCGCACAGCAGAACATTGATATCTCCGCGAATTCTATGTTTGTTTCCGGGATTCTTGGATTCACCGCCGAAGAGGGCGAGAGCGAGGGCTCGCTTCACATTCTTGTGGCCATAAATGGATGGCGCCATCGATGCGAAGATCCGTTCGGCGATTCGATGGTCTTTCGAGAGCTCCAGGATTTTGCTGATATCGTCGTCGGTGAGGACAGAGCCCACAGCAGTCCAGTTGTCTTTCTTGAGTATATGATTGGCCATAATTACGGTCGAGAAGACGGGAAAGCCGTTAGCGATGTTGAGTGAGCCGTCGTATGAGTTGGTGTAGACTCCGGTCAACTCAATCTCATCTCCCGGACGACACGAGTCGCACAAATCGCCCAAAAGTATGGAGTCTTTGGAGCGCGGAATACGTCCGGCGCTGATCTTTCCCGGACTCTCTTGTATTGTAATTCTTTGGTAGTTCTGGTAAATGGTTTCCTCCATATTGATAGAGAAGGGACCCGTCGACTGACACTCGGGACACGACCCGGGCTTCACCTCTTCGGTCTGGTTCTGAACAAATGGTCCCAAAATGTACTTACATTTGAGACAATCGTATTTAATTAAAGACAATTGCGGCAAAACAGTGGTCGTAGAGGTGACCACTCCGTGAGTGCGAATCAATTGATTCAAATGCAATTGCCTTAAGGAACGGATGTCTTCAATGAGTGGCAGATCAGTGATGCGAACGAAGATCTCTTTAGCGATGCGTTCATAGGCCGGGAATATAGAGAGAACCACGTGTTTGGCCGCTTCGTTGAAGATCTCAAGCATCTCAATGGGAGCGTCGGGTAAGAAGTAGGCCAACACCTGCTCCGAAGCGGCCAACAAATGGTAATCCACTTCAAAGCTCTGTTTGTTCTCCTCAGACATCGTACGGATCTTATCCCTGAAGACATTGCGTCCCTTATCGTCAGTACACGTCCGCAGAAAGTTCTTAAACCGATTGTAAATCTCACGCTTCGGCGCCATTTGGACGACCCATTCGCGGACAGTCATGCCTCGGGTGTCCTCCAGATTCTCAATACTCTCGATCATCTCTTCGGCCTCTCCCTCACCAAACAGTTCGGCCCTTCGCTGTTGCGCCCGAAGCTGTCGGCGCCGGACGTGCGGCCGATCATCGCTGCCCTCTTCGCTGTCGTCATACATATCGAGACCCCTTCGCATACGACCCGCGAGACGGCCCTCCGCGCGATCTCTGGCCCTCATCTCTGCCTCAGCGGTGATGCGTTCGCCGAGCGATAGCTCCGACACACCGACCGAGTCGTCCAGCATTTCCGTCTCGTAGACGTCGAGCTCCGGTCGCGGCCTATAATCGCGTTCAAAGTTATCGCCGAACAGCTCTTCGCCGCTCTCGTCATCGGACAGGTTGTGATCGCGGAGTCGACCGTCTCTTATGGCGGGCCTATTCTGTTGGCCACTGGCCTGAGGGCTGGCGGCGGACTCGTCATCAGTGATCATATTGTCGTCGGCGATGTCCTCCTCCTCCTGGAAGGGAACGCCCGGCGAAGACACCGGACTATTGATGTCATCCTCTCGACTGTCACTTGACTGCAGTGTCCAAAACGGGTCACACGTGGGGTCACAACAAAAACCAATCCATTAATTGTCTGTTAATTCATATCATTTAATAGATATAAAACTTACGGCCATTTGATTATTGATTGGGAATTAAAATTAATATAAATTATAATACAATTAAAAAATCTAATGATTTGTTTTTGTGAAGACTTTTAACGATTAAAAGTCCGTCTCTTTTGTCAGCAAAAAGTTTTGGCGCTTAAAGTCTCTGATTATTAAAACCTGTCATCAATTATAGAAAAGGGGCGCAAATTGTTTGCTATTTATTTTGCTTATATTTGTACAAAAGGGGGCAATAATTCACACATTTATTGAGCGTTTTATATGAATATAAATTAAAAGTCTTTGTGAGTATTATTGTAGACGAAAAGTGTTGATAATATGCGAAATAATCAATAAAATACGCGCACAGACTGTACGGCATAACTGTTATACTGCACTACCTGTACATTGGCTGACGTCACGCGATGTGTGAAAACGTTTGTTGTTTTGATTGAGTGTTGACTTGATTTGTGTCACGTGTTTGAGATAATTAGTGGTAAAGTCTTATTGTAGTGGAAGTGTTGGTGATAATCGGGTGATCATGTCTTATATGTTGCAACACCTGCACAATGGCTGGCAAGTGGATCAGGCGATCCTGTCCGAAGAGGACCGAGTGGTGGTCATACGGTTCGGCCACGACTGGGACCCGACGTGTATGAAAATGGACGAAGTGTTGTACGGCATCGCAGAGAAGGTGAAGAACTACGGAGTGATCTATTTGGTGGACATCACGGAAGTGCCCGACTTCAACAACGGTTCGGCCACGACTGGGACCCGACGTGTATGAAAATGGACGAAGTGTTGTACGGCATCGCAGAGAAGGTGAAGAACTACGGAGTGATCTATTTGGTGGACATCACGGAAGTGCCCGACTTCAACAAGATGTACGAGTTGTACGATCCGTGTACTGTCATGTTCTTCTTCCG